CAGAGAGAACAAAACACAGATTTTGGAAAATTATTATTTTCCGGGGATGTCGGGAAAAATAAAGCGAATTATAAAACTGTGCACGACGTGTAAGAAAAACAAATACGAGAGACATCCCAATGAACCTTACCTTTGTGAGACGCCTATTCCAAATTACCCAGGTCATACTATTCATATTGATATATTCTCTACAGATAGGAAATTAGTTCTGACCTCCATTGACAAATTCTCAAAGTACGTTAAAGTGAAAATACTAGACGGAAGATCTACTGAGGCTATTAGAAGACCACTGAGGGAATTATTATTCTCTTACGGAGTTCCGAAGAATGTGGTAATGGACAACGAACCGTCTCTAAATTCCAGTTCGATATTATTCATGATGAAGGACGAATTAGGAATAAATATTTTTACGACCCCATCCTACAGGAGCGAGGCTAACGGACAGATAGAACGCTTTCATTCTACCCTCGCTGAGATAATGAGATGTTTGAAAAGTGATGGAACATCTAGGAATTTTGAGGAATTACTGGAGAGGGCTGTTAATGAATACAATCACTCGATTCACTCCACGGTGAATAGAAGACCTGTTGATTTGTATTTTGGACGCACAATTGACTTTTCTCCACAAGACATAGAGACTACCAGACGGAATATTGTTGACAAACTCAGACAGAAACAGGCCAACGACTTGACGTATCATAACAAAAAGAAACGACCAGTTAAGGATTATATTCCCGGACAATTAATTTATGTAAGCAACAACAAAAGGTTAGGAACGAAACTAAGCGACCGTTACAAAGAAGAAATAGTTAAGGAAAACAGGAATACCACCGTTTTGACCGAAAGCGGAAGGGCTAAAAGCCATATTAGAAATTAATAAAATCCTAAATTTTACAGATTGTTTCCTGGAAACGCCCTGGCTGACTTCAGCATCCTCGACTACTCGAACGCAAGACTCATTTCAATTCATAATGGAATAGCAAGGAAACAGAACGGGACATTTAAAGTAATTCATTCAATAGATCTTGAACAGTATGAAAACCTCACTCGTGAAACCGAACACATTCTAGACAAATTCGTGAACCTAGACCATCCTCTCCGTCCATTTATGAAGCAACAATTAATTGACATCAATGGACTATTAGACCGTCTGATGCCGCACAGAGAGAAAAGATCGATAGACTTCATAGGAAGTGCTTGGAAGTGGATTGCAGGCAGTCCAGATAGTCATGATTTTCAGATCCTAGAACAGAAAATTGGCAATATTTTGGAAAATAACAATAGACAGCTGATAATAAACCAATTAATTTCGGAAAGAATAACCGAAATAACTAATAAGACGAATGAAATAATAAAAAGGGAAGGGTGGAACGATGAAGTAGTATCCAAAATCGAAAGAAAACTTAATTTTATTGAAAAAGAGTTACAAAACGTAGAGTTTGCAATACAGTGGGCTAAAGCTAATATCGTCAATTCATTTCTGCTTTCTAAAATCGAAATCGATCAAATAAACACTGTTTTTGAAAAATATAATATTCCTACTTATTCGATAGATGAACTATTAACTTTTGGATCCGTAAAAATTGTTACAAATAAACGAGAAATTTTGTACATCCTTAGTATCCCTGTAACTCAAGAAGAAGTTTGTAAAGTATATTTCATAAAACCTATAAAAACTGGAGATGTAATTGATAAAATTGAATACGAAAAAATTTTGGAATGTAATAAAGAATTATTTGGAATAAAAACAGAATGTAAAAGTAATTACGACATAACAATTTGTAATAGAGATAAGCTTATTTCATTAAGAAATGATAATTGTATAACTAATTTGTTCAAAAGTAGAGTAGGGAAATGCACCCAAATAAACAACGAACACATACCAACAATTGAAGAGATCGGATCGGACTTGCTCTTGCTGAACCAATATCAAGGCGCTATCAGTGTAGACAACGAGCAGATTTTTTTAAACGGGACTTATCTCATCAAACATTTCAACGTCACTATAAGAATCGATGGCCACAGTTACAGTTCAAGAGGAATAAGTGCCAATAAACCTCTTCCCGCCTTTTTGCAACCAAAAGGTCCAAAAGACAAATTAGAAGAAGTAATATCATTGGAGCTGCTTAAACAGTTGAACGTAAAGAACATCGAACGAATACGATCTATGGAAACCAAAGGTACCTTAGCAGTCGGCATCGGTTGTGTTTCTGCAATAATCCTTACAACTATAACAATAATATCACTGAGAAGAAAATATGCAAAAAACTCCGAAAATAATAATCTGAAAATCGAAGATGCCCCAGGAGATGAAATAGAGATTGCGGAAGTAAATTTACCTACAACTTCGAAAGAAACTAAAACATCCAGCATTTACAATATTCATTCATTTTGAACAATCGGGACGATTGTATTTAAGAGGGGAGGAGTTAACACCAGACATATTCAAATTCAACATTAGCAACCCAAAGAATTCATCAACCAAAGTATAAGCGTGTCATTTTGCTGACACTGCAGTTCCCACCGAAACACTGACAACAACATCCAACAGGCAGACAGCAACATTCCATCGCCAACACGAGCAGGTGTCCAGTATCATCTGGGTGCATGAATCCAAAGTATAAGTTAGGGTAGTTTTATTTCATTATTCACTTTGTAGTCCGGAACCTTAACCAATAAAGACGTGATTGCTTGCAGTAAGCAGCAATCACAAATTTTTAAAAAAATAAATAAATTAACATTGAATTAATTTACATACCTAAGTCAGTTTATTATAATATTTTTGGCATGCCTTATGATTATTGTAAATGTGGACCCTTTATAGTGAAAGTACCGAAGGAGTGGGCCAATATTGTCCATTTCACATCTGACCTAAGTCTGATATAAATATTGCGACGTACCAGGATTGGGCTATACCGACTACTTTCATCCACTTCCTTAGCTTCCGAACCAAGTGAAGTAGGTGGTTGAAATTTTACTCAGCTGTGTTGTAGTTTAATATTGAAAATGATAAATATACCGACAGATTTAAGGTTTATTTGGGTATTTTATTCCACATTTTATAAAAGTTGTGATTGTTTAAAATTTCGGCGAAGGAGAGGGCCGATATTGCCCATTTTCATACCTGACAATATTAGCATTTTCCAAGAAAATCTAATAAATCGTTCTCGGTATTGCCCATCTCTGAACAAAATCTGATAATCCTTTCTTTTTTTATGAGGTTAATTCTTTCTTCTAAAATGTTGACCTCTTATGTGTGAGGTAGCAGAAGGAGTGGACCGATATTATCCATCTCCGAACTCAATCTAAGTTTGATAATGATATTACGATGTACCACGTTTGAATCAAATCGGATCGGCTACAATTGCCCTGGAACGAATTTTGTCCAAGGAGTCCTAGGTTTCAAAGCCATTATTTCAATGAGCCACGTATTGGCCATATTATATCATATGGCTGATGGTATCAAAACTAAACGAATACTTCATTCAACTTATTTGTCGGCTATAAGTGGCAGAATAATTACTTATTTCAGGTGACATGTCTTTGTAAAAATAATGGATTAATAGGTTGATTTTTCCATTATTTGGTAATGGTTTTTTTGCTGGGTATCCAGATAACGGGGAATATAAAATGGCTTAACAAACCAGATTCTTGTACTATGAAGATATGAAATGAAGGTTGATTTTCAATTATTTGGTAATGGGAAAACTCATTATTTGGTAATGGCATTTTTTAGGTATTCAGACAACATGGAATATTAAATGGCTTAACAAACCAGGAGCTAGGTTTTTTTTTTGTTATGAAAATATGAAATGAAGGTTGATTTTCCAATTATTGGTAATAGGTTAATCCATTATTTGGTAATGGAAAAATCCATTATTTCGTAATGGTATTTTTGCTAGGTATCCAGACAAACGGGAATGTTTAATGGCTTAACAAACCAGTACTACAAAAATATGAAATGAAGACCTTTTTTTCAATTATTTGTTAATAGGAAAATCCATTATTTGGTAATGGGAAAATCCATTATTTGGTAATGGAAAAACCCATTATTTGGTAATGGGATTTTTGTTGGTTATCCAGACAACAGGGAGTATTGAATGGCTTAACAAACCAGGAGATAGATTCTTGTACTATGAAAATATGAAATGAAGGTTAATTTTTCAATTATTTGGTAATGAAAAAATCCATTATTTGGTAATGGGAAAACGCATTATTTGGTAATGGGATTTTTGTTGGTTATCCAGACAACAGGGAATTTTAAAAGAACTTAACAGATCAGGAGCTAGATTTCTTTGCTATGAAAATATGAAATGAAGGTTGATTTTTCAATTATTTGGTAATGAGTTAATCCATTATTTAGTAATGGAAAAATCCATTATTTGGTAATAAGATTTTTGCTGGGTATCCAGACAACATGGAATATTAAATGGCTTAACAAACCAGGACCTAGGATTTTTTTGTTATGAAGATATGAAATGAAGGTTGATTTTTCAATTATTTGGTAATGGGAAAATCCATTATTTCGTAGTGGGATTTTTGCTGGGTATCCACACAAAAGGGAATATTAAATGGCTTAACAAACCAGGAGCTAGATTCTTCTACCATGAAATGGAAACTTTGATCTTTCTTTATAAAATCTCCCTTTGACATTCTTTAAATGATTTCATTTTCAATTTTCACAGAATAAGTTATGTGTCTTTCTCTGGGTAATCACTTCATTTCCATCCACACCTTTTTGGAACACTCTGTATACATTTAGTAATACTTAAGTAGTAGAGCTTCTTTTTTTTTTTTGTAATGTATGTATGTTTGCATGTCCGTATATATTTTGTATATAATAATTATTTATATAATAATAATTTTGATAATACTTTTTGCATTTGCTTTGTTTTATATCTGAATTTGCGTTGGTTTTTTCCACCTTTCAGCTATGATTTGAAAAAATATTGTATGTTTGTCGAAGTTTTGTTGTTGTTCTTTATTTTCATGAAGGCGACGAATGTTATTGTTGTTTTGTTTTTCTCTTCATTTTAGCAAAGATTCATTTTTGAAAGATAGAAAAGGTTAATGAGAGTTTGGGTAATTAGAGTATTTTGTTAATGGGGGGAGGTTGGAAATTTGGGCAGGATTTATATATTGTACATAACGGGGTTTTTGGTTTTGCATGTTTGTTTAAAGGCGAATTAACAGGTTGTTACTATTATGCTTGTTGTTATTGTTGTTTGTGTGTGTGTTGTTACAGATACCAGAATCTGTGTTTAGTTGTTATGCGAAAATATATAGTTCTTTTTCATAATTGTGTGCGTTGATTTAATAACAATAAGTGTTGTCCATTTAATTAAAATAATCATAATTGTTGTTCTTGTTGTTGTTGTTGAAAACTAAACTATAGTAACTGTTGGTTTATGATTATTGTGATGATGTGAATGTGAATGATGATGATGATGCTGCTGTGCATGATTTTGATGCTGATGATACGGATGCTGCTGGTATTTTGGCTGATGCTGAGTAGGCGGCACAGATGTTGTCTGGCTAAACAATTCATTGGCTTTTACAATATCCTGTAACGGTTTAGAACTATGAGTATTTACTGGGCGACAGTCTTCGCTTTTGCATTTCCCATTTATTAGGGTGTTTTTGCTTATTTGTTCATACTGTTTTTCATGATACTCCCGCTGTTTTTGTTGGCCATTACTACTATTACAATTCTTGACATTTTCTTCTTCTTCTTCTTCGCATTTTGGTTGTGACTTATTGACACAGCCACTGCTGCTCCACTGTTTCAAAGGATCGCCAATTAAAGTAATTTTCACAGGTTTATATGAGGGTGCAATTGGTTTGTCCCATGCAATCGATGCCCGACGCTCTGGAACTTTGTTCGAATTCATAATGGTTGGTTGTGAAAACATTTGTTGATTATAATTCGATAATGTGGTCGAAATAACTGTATGACGTCGAGTTTGATTATTATTGTTATTATTTTGTGTCATATTACCAGGATTTTGTTGCCCAGAATTATGATGTTGTTGCTGGATGACCGTTGTGCCATTGAGGGCCGGAAAATATGTTGTATAACTGGTATATTCCGGCTTACTTCTAAATTCAAATAGAAATGACAAAAAAATTAAAAAAGAAAAAAATTGTTATTATTAATACATTTTGCATCATTACAATAATTAATAAACACTAATACAACAAGATTTGGTGTTTTCTCTTATTTTTTAAGGGGAAATGACAGTGGGCAATGGAATCTAAATACATTTAATTGCATGCTCTCTTATTGCACACAAACACACACACACACATTTAATTATCTTGTTATTAATATGTATTCAATTAGATAAAAATATTGGAAATTTACCTCAAATTTCTATATTTTATTTGCAGCATGCAATCAAAATTTTTAAATACATATAAATACGATTTTTGTTTGTGTTGTTGTTGTTGTTAATGTATATTATTAGGACAAATAACTGTACAATATGAACTATTAAAGCTTAGGTATATTGAAGAACAACAATTGATTTGACATCGGATTATAGTTGGTAGTAATAAAAAAAATCATTGAAAAAAACATCCTACCGTTCCGAAAATATCAAACAAATCACATTCCCCGGATTCGTCCATGACCCCTATTAAAATATGCTGCCAAGAATGTATGGGAACGAAAAATTGATCGTCATTAATCGCCACCAATATGTTTGCTGTACCCTTTAAGTTTGTTTATTTCTAGGCCTCATCCGCCCCCATTGTGTCGCATGATTATATCCATACTTTCCAACGGGATTGTTTGAAATTTTTGGTAATTTGTATTCCTCTGACAGAAAAATGTCTATATGGGTCCATGTCCTCCTACACACCCCATATAACGGAACACTCCCGATATTCCGAATTTAATATCCTATTCCATTATACCCAAGGTACAGGGTATTATGTCTTTGTGCATTTGTTTGTAACATGCAGAAGCAAACATAATGGACTCGTAGTACCTTTTGATGATCTGTTTAGTATCATATTCTGAGTCGATTTATGCAAGTTCGCCTGTCCATATAGTTTTGTAAACAGAGTACAGGTCGCATTTATTGTCCGATTAAGATGAGATTTCTACAAATCATTTGTTTGGCCCAAGGACAAACCCCATGGAAATTGATGGAAATTAGCCCCAATTTAGATATAGCTCCCATATATATCTTCATGCGATATGAATTTTGTTGGGCGCCATATGTGGAATGGAAACGTCCAAATGGAATGGATTTCTGTAAATTCGACCGAATCAAGCGTAGTAGGACGTGTGTTGAATTTGGTGGAAATCGCATCAGATATAGCTATAGCTCCCATATATTCGCAATATGCTCTGCAAAATACTGATATTTGCTACCAGACACAGGAAAAAAATTACTATCTTAATTTTTTTGTCAAGGTCTGTTATGATTTGGGTTTAGCTCCCATATACATCGATATCCGATTTCGGATTTATTGTGCACCAGATGGTTAATATCAGCTCAAATGGAGTGGATTTTGGCACACACAACAGAATTCAGCCTAGAATCAAGTATGTCAAAGTTCAGATTTGGATATAGCTTTCCTTTATACAGGGTGAGATAAAAAACTGCAACAAAGTCAAACGCCACAATTTTAACATTTTTTTAAATTTTATCGAATGAAAGCAAAAAATCAAATTTTAGAATAAGTTTAGATTTGTTTGAATTGGTCACCTTTTGCACGAATTATGGCCTTCAAACGACCGATGAAACCGTCACACGCTGCCCCAATGTTGCTCCGCGGCATTTTGGTCTGTTCCCGGCGAAGCACTTGCTTGAGGTGATCAACATTTTGGTATTTCTTAGTACCAACCTTGCTTTCCAAAATACTCCAGACACAATAGTCCAACAGATTGGTATTCAGAGATTTTTTTTTAGTTCTGGTGGCCATCAGCTGACCTCTTTGGCATTTGTTTGTTTACAAACTGCTGGACAACGAATGTTTTCTCATCGGAGGAAACCAAATTCGGCAGTTCACCACTTTCGGCCAAGCGAAGCAACACTTTAGCTCTTTCGAGTCTATTTTCTTTCTGTTGCGGTATAAGTTCTTGCACTTTTTGGAATTTCAATGGCTTTACACCGAGCTCATTTTTCAATATTTGCCGAATGGAATATTGCGATATGTTCAGCTCACGAGCCATTATTCGGCCGCTGCGACGCGGGTTCCGATCATTTCTGCTGATTTTGTTGTTTTCTTCCGTCCACTTCCTTGACGTCGGTCTACGCTACCAGCATCACGGTAATGAGCGATGGTACGAGACACAAAAGATTTATTCACATTTAAATGCTGGAGTGCTCTAACGAAAGCCACTTGTGATTTTCCAGCCAAATATGAAGAAATCACACTATCACGCTTGAATTCCATCACGAATAACTTTTTTTTCTGGAAAATTCTCAACAAAATGCTTTTTTACGCTTGTAAACAATATAATGAGATGTCACTGGAAAAATATTAGCAGCTGTCGGACGAGTGGCTTTCAAATGATAGCAGTCTGAAGTTGGTTTCAGTTTTTTCATCTCACCCTGTAGGTCCACGTCTACGCATAGACCCCATATTATGGTTTTCGAAGTCCTTCCAAATGGTGGACGGTATTAAAAGTTCGATAGGGCCAAACTTTTTCATCTCACCCTGTAGGTCCACGTCTACGCATAGACCCCATATTATGGTTTTCGAAGTCCTTCCAAATGGTGGACGGTATTAAAAGTTCGATAGGGCCAAACTGTTTAAAGTCATATTGTTCACTCTATAGCAATGTTATTCACTACGAGAGGTACAAATGCCTCCGTAAAGTTTGGTGGAAATCGATTCAGAATTGGATATACCTCCCACTTAGTTGCTCTGATTTCAAATTATTACTGCTCTAAAGACATAATACGTATTCTAAAAAGGTGCATAGATGGTATGATCCACTTAGCACGGGTAGTGATAACCTTTCTTTACTGGTTATGATTGTAGTTACAATTTCAATGGAATTTTCTTGAAGGTGATGTTTGGAGTTCTTAATAGGTTCCACATTTTCTACGACTACGTTTTCGTATAGCCTCCATATTACCGCACTCCAACCCATACTTGGAATTTCGATGATTGTAGAAAAATGTTCAGAGGATTAACTCAATGTTGGCATTTGGAGCTGCCCTTCTTTGGGAGATACTTGCCTAAGCAGGACAATATTTTCTCATAGCTGTCATATAATGTAGCCTGTAGAAACTTGGAATTTTGATGATTGTCTGAAGTTTAGCATTTGAAGTTCGTACCGTACCTCGTGTGAGAAATTATCCATATTGTCCTAGGTTTTCTTTCCGAGAATATTTTTTGGAGTCATAACTAAAAGTTTGTAGTTTTTAAGCAACCGAGTAATGACACCGTCCAACTTAGGGACTACCAAATTCAGTGTTCTACCTCTATCCCTTCCCCAAATACCAAATTTAATACCATTTTCTACATTCGTACTTTTTAGTGCCTACTTCCTAATTCACCTACACATATCAAGCCGTACCATTTTAGTACGTATTCCAAAATACATCTTCAAATTTCAACTATCCAAACTAAGAGCGTGAGTGAGTGCGGAAATTTCTGATTTTAAATACTAACCGTTTACCCAATGCCAAATTTAGTACCTTTTAGTACTTTTCATATACTTGTAGTATACAATTCCAAAACCACCTTTTACACACACAACATTAACCCACATTCAACATTTTAAGATTGTAGGTTCAATTGTTTCGCCTGGGCGTTAAATCAGTCAGTAACTCATTTAGTCACACTGAAATATTTCCAAAAACATACGTTTCAAAATGCTTCCTTCACAAATAAAAACCTTGGTATTGACGTCACCCTTCATAAGAAGTTTGCAGAAATAAATAGATCCATGTATACCAGAGAACATCAATTAGTAACACAATGCAACTTATTTTGATGTATAAAGGGGAATATTGTTGCTAAAAGAGGTTATTGCAAATATTTGACATATTGCATTTCTTTATAAGCCTTGGACTTGTGAGAACCAGGTCTCTGGACTAATCCGAGAAACTCTAGAACCTCTGCCAAGATTTCTTGATATCGGATGAATATTACGGGAGAGATATGGGAGCATATTACGGGTTGGAAGCAATCGAGAACAACTAACATAATATATATTTCATAATAACTAATACATGTTTAAATAAATGTTAAAATGTATATTTAATATACAATTTCCATTTGTTCGCCTCGCAAATCAATTGTTGTTCAACGGTATAAATTAAAGCTATCACAAATCTGTTAAGTCTATAATTAATAACAATAATGTTCTTAACCTAATTTAATCATGAGGGACAGTTGTGAGTACACGTATAGGTTAGATGTAGTATACAGATAAGGTTAATTGCACATAACAATATTACAGCCAAGAAAAAATCACAGTAGAATACCTTTTGTTCTCCAAATTGTTGTAGTCTATGTTTTGTGTGTTTCGATAGGATTACGGTCAGTTTGTTTTGTTATAAATTTTATATGGATTAAAAGTTTTTCGATTGTTTTACATAATTGTTTTTGTTTTTTAACCAAAAATAGAGGAAAGAGAATGTGTAATTGTTAGCAGTTATATAAATATAGAAGTAATAACTTATTTGCAAGGCATAGAAATAAATAAATAATTAAGAAAGATACTAAAAATAAAAGAAATGTTAAACTAAACAAAAGAAATATGAAATTAATAAACAAAAGAAAGTAAAATAGTAAATGCAGATGCATAAATAATATTTACATAAACATAAGGCTCTTCGCTAAACTGTGAACATGCAACCTTCAAAATGGTTTAAACTTAGTATACAAATGTGGGTTTGTATTTATACCCTACACCACAAGGTGGTCAGGGTATTATGTCTTTGTGCATTTGTTTGTAACAGGCAAAAGGAAATGAGATAGACCCATAGTTCCTTTTGATGATCTGCATAGAACCACTTTCTGAGTTGATTTATGCATGTCAGTCCGTCCGTCCGTCTGTCCATGTATTCTTGTGAACAAAATGCAGGTCGCATTTATTATCCGATTGAGATGACATTTTTCAAACAACATTTTTTTGGCTCAAGGACGAACCCTACTGAAATTGGAGATAATCGGTAAAAATTTAGATATAGCTCCCATACATATCTTCGTCCGATTTGCCTTTTATTGTGCACCAAACGTGTAATATCAGCCCGAATAGTATGGAATTTTGCACATACAACCAAATTAGGCCTGAAAATAAGTATGCCAAATTTAATCGAAATCGGTTCAGATATAGCTATAGCTATAGCTCCCATATATATTGTTCATCCGATTTTATATTTTTGTCCTCCGCAGCCGTAATATGCACTCTGTAATAACAATATTTAGGGAAATATATCAAATGCAGTTCAGAAATACCTTTGCTAAATTTTATCGATATCGGTTCAGATTTGGATATAGCTCCCATATATAACTTCGTCCGATTTACCATTTATTGTGCACCAAACGTCTAATATTTTTCCAAATGGGATGGAATTTGGCACATACGGCCGAATTTAGTCTTGAAGGTAGTATGCCAAATTTGGTGAAGATCGGTTCAGATATAGTTATAGCTCCCATATATATTGTTCATCCGATTTATTGTATTTGTTACCCACAGCCGTAATATGCACTCCGTTACAACGATATTCAGGGAAATATATCAAATACAGCTCAGAATTTTTTGCCAAATTTTAACGAGATTGGTTCAGATTTGGATATAACTTCCTATATATTTCTTTATCTGATTTCAAATTAATTTTGCACTAAATGGGCAATACAAGTCCGAATTTAAAAGATACAAATGCTTCGGCATATTTAATCCTTTGAATTTTAAATTATAATTATAATCATAGCGTGTATGATTGAATTCTCCCATAAAAACTTTTAATTATTAAGTGGAGCTCAACTTAGGTGTAGGGTATCATAAAATCGGCTCCGCCCGACTTTAGGACTTTCTTTACTGGTTTTTTTTTTGGATTATGAAAATTTGGATTATGAAAATCTTAGAAAATAGCGTTACACAAGTCTCATGCGCCCTAAAGAATTTGTTCACCTGTTGAAATGAGATATATATTTATACCCTACAACAGTATGTGTTGGGGGTATGATAAGTTTGATTGTGACAAAAATTATGTTACACCTCAAAATATTGACATAGGAAAGTAAATATGGATTTTCCTATCTCGCCGAGCTGAGTCGATCTAGCTATGTATGCCCGTCCGTCTGTCTGCCCATGTTAATTTGTAATTACGCTACAGGTCGCACAATATTGCCCGATCCGCATTTATTCCCTGATTTTGTAGTTGCTCTACAGGTCGCAATTATAGACCAGTCAACGCGTAAGTTAGCATGGGGCTATAGGTTAGGGCTGGCCAGAAGCCTTCCAATTTGGATGGTCATAGGGTAATATTTAGTGGGTGAAATAGACCATAACATTAGTGTTAAATAAATGTCAAATTTTTCATTAAACCGCGAATATTTTTAATTCCGGCGAAATCACAAATAGACGAAAAGGTCAATCCTGACCGTTTCGTGGATGCCGATAATAAATATATCGGATATATATAGCGAAATATATACAATGTGTATATACAAAGGGACGGGATTCTAGCTAATTCTAGCTAACAGAATGCTTATATCTCAATAATGGCTGGGCCAATTTTGACAAATTTTGTCAATTCAGAATGCCCTCTTGGCATACAATAATAAGATAAAAAAAAGAATCCGCACAAAAAGATGGCAATAATGATGCAAATATATTTTTTTATTTTAGTTTTTTTATTTTGTGATTTTTTCATATTTTTTTATCGAATGAAATTTTTTCAATTTGACTTATAATATTGAAGTGTATATTTTGTAATATTTTTTCACCTTATAATACACACAGGATGGGGTTATTATATACAGATTGCAATTATCGTCCGATCCTCACGAACATTTTCACAAGGCTAGAGTTATGATTAGAAGGGCTAGGGCTATTGTTTTCAAAGGTGTCAGCAAAATATATTTAGGGGTTGAAATGGACCAAAAACCAAAAATGTTCCTGATTTTGCAGCCGTTATGAAGGTCACAAATAGAAACCAAAGGACAAAAATCTCGCATGAAGTTAAAGTTAGGACAGCGAGTAGAATGGACCACTACCTTGGGTGGAAAAATACCAACATTCCCTTTCTACCGAAACGATGAAAAAAACTCACAGGCGACAAATAAACAAAAAGGCGAACTTCTGGATTTTTATGCTGATTTCGTTGACGAATATAGCCAAACATTGTAAACAAGCAAATCATATAGATGAGTCTAAATTTGGAGATACAGAGGAGGCCTCTTGGAGATAATTGCAAAATATTTAGGGGTTCAAATGAACCAAAAACAGAAAATATGTCCTGATCACACAATTGAAGCCAATCGACACGCCTGAGCAGAGAGTTAAGGACAGGGAAGAATTGTAGCATTTCGGATGATTATTGGATAATATTTGGCTTTAAAATGCACCACAACAACTAACAGCACGACGGAGTGCTTAAATATTGGGCAAATGTCCCTGGTTAAAAAGCACAGGGTAATATCTGGGCAGTGCTACGTGACATAATTTCAAAAGCGAAATCTTCCAAAATGGATTTTTACATAAAGGGGCTTCTAACATATTTTAGTGTTGTAGGGTATCACATGGCCGGCCCCGCACGTCTATAGTCTTTGCTTATTTGTTTATTTATTTATATATTTATTATACCCTCCACCTTGGAAAGGAGGGTATATTAACTTTGTCATTCCGTTTGTAACATCCTTAAATATTCGTCGTAGACCCCATAAAATATATATGTTCATAATCAGCATAAAATTCTAAGTCGATTTAACGATGTCCGTCTGTCTGTCTGTCCGTCTGTCTGTCAGTCTGTCTGTTGAAATCACGATACAGCCCACATTATTTGACGTAGAGCGCCAAAATTTAGCTAAGCAATTCGTATTGTGTCTAGGTTGGTTGGTATTGAAAATGATATATCGGTCAACGTTCTAGTATAGTCCCCATATAACGGTACCTCCCGATGTTCGGTAATTTGATGATTTTGCCACATTTTTTCACGGATTTGTCTAAAAATTGGTATTTGTTGGCCAAAATGGGTTCCAGCTCAGGTGGCGAAACATTGCATGTATGGGTCCATGATTTGGTATAGCCCCCATATAACGGTACCTCCCGATATTCGGTATTTTGATGGTTTTTGCCACATTTTTCACTGATTTGTCTAAAAATTGGTATTTGTGGGTCATAATGGGTCCTAGTTCGTGTGGCGAAATATTGTATGTATAGGTCCACGTTTTGATATAGTTCCCATAAAAAGATTTTTGACACATCTTTTCAAGAATTTCTCTGAAAATTGATAGTTGTAGATTATAATGGGTCCCAGGTGGCGAGTCATTGTAATTATAGGTCCACGTTTTGGTAAAACCCCCATATAACGGTACCTCCCGATGTTCGGTAATTTGATGATTTTTGCCACATTTTTTCACGGATTTGTCTGAAAATTGGTATTTGTAGGTCATAATGGGTTCTAGCTCCTTTGGCGAAACATTGCATGTGTAGGTCCACGATTTGGTATAGCCCCCATATAACGGTACATCCCGATACTCGGCATTTTAATGATTTTTGCCACATTTCTTCTAATGTTGTTTCTTTTACCCTAAAGTGGAGGGTATTTAAAGGTTGGACCGGCCGAACTTAATGTTTTTACTTGTTTTTTAATTGTTATTATAAATATAGTCAGGTTTAATCCCATTATTGTCGTTTTGTTTTATAAAAACATCGTTCGTTTATTAGCGGAGGAAGAGAAAGTGGAGAAAAATCAGCCTTTATATAATCAAGTCAAGAAAAATTAGGTATTTTAAGGAGTTGGCTGATAAATCTTTTAATAAAAATTGACCTTTTTAGTTTTAATTCTATTGGATAGAGTACGAAGAAATATGACTCCAAATGATAAGTATTTAAATTAAAATTGGTGAATTTATATGTTCACAAGCCGAGAGCTTATCAAATCAATAAGAAGGAACTGATAAAGCTAAGTTTTATAATTTAAAAAGGTAATGAAAAAAAAAAAAAACAAACCAAGATGAAAAACTAAATAATTAACTAACAAATATTAAAAGACCATCCATATTACCTCGATAAACCCTCCATGCCAATCGACAAAGGACGAGTCTGCAAAGAAAAAGATTTGATTTAATTTTCTCAATATTTAAAAATAAAAAAAAATCCATACAAACACACACAGATACACATACCCTTTCAGTTTGAGTTGCCGTGGTAACACATTCCTTTGGGGCTTCAACACTAGTTGGAGCCGTTTTATGTTTTTCCGCCTCCAGCTGTTCAATGAGATTTTTCTGCAAACGTATTGTGCGATCACGATCATCAACTTGACCCTGTTGCCGATCCATGTTTAACAGTTTAATGGTCCGAATATGGCGGAATAATGTGCAATGATTGAAAAAAAACAATAAAATATTTATTACTTCAAATTAGCTGTTATCAATTTCAATGAACTTGGTATGATGGTAGAAGAAGAAAGTGGATTGGTAGAGATAAATTAAAAAAAATAATATTTTTTAATATATTCAATTGTACAACATTAACGGTGAGCAAGTATATGTTTTCCATAGGTTTATGCTACATTTGTATAATGTATGAATATATATAATTTCTCTTAAATTGAATCTATAAATTAAATATAAACGGATTTACTATACATTCTATGTATGTGTTGGTATTTGTGTATTTATAGGCAATTAAAATTTCAAAATTTCTATTTTTTGTTTCAAAAATTAACAAAATCATCCAAACTGGTTCATTTATTGTTTTTAATAGTTTTAGAAGTTGTTCCCCGGCTCTTAGTGTATCACTCCATAAATTAACAAGGTTCCAGTACTGAAAACACACATTTCATTCTTCATAATTCATACCAGAAGGGGTTGGCAGATATTTATAATCTTCACAACAGATCTTGCGTATTCAAAACTGCTTGGATGTGTGAAATTTTGATGTTTATTTCGCTTTCTTTGAGCGTTTTGTTTTTAAAAATCTTGAACCCTATGTGAGAGAGGTACCAGAAGAAATGGTTCGATCTCTACTACATTTATAACAGATCTTGTGTTGATGAAAATATTGAGATGTACCAAGTCTAAATGGAATCGGATGTTCATTTCGCGTTTTATGAGCTTCATGGATATTAAAAATGTTGACCCTTTGTGGGAGAGGTACCAGAAGGATAAAATCAATATATTCCATCTTCACAGCAGATATTGTGTTAGTAGGAAATAATGGGATGTGTGAAATATGAAGAGAACTGGATATTTATTTCAGATTTTGTAATCGCTTTGGCTATTAAAAACTTTGACCCGTTGGGGCGGAGGTACCAGAAGGGGTTGACAGATATTTATAATCTTCACAACAGATCCTGCGTATTCAAAACTGATTGGATGTGTGAAATTTGAAGAAAGTTGGATGTTTATTTCGCTTTCTTTGAGCGTTTTGTTTGTTTAAAATCTTAAACCCCAGAAGAAATGGTCCTACCAGAAGAAATGGTCCGATTTATAACAGATCTAACACAAGAAATAATGAGATGTGTGAAATATAAAGAGAAACGGATGCTTATTTCGGATATTTTAATCGTTTTGGCTATTCAAAACTTTTACCCTTTGCAGTTGAGGTATTAATAGGAATGGTGCGATCTTTATAAAAGTTGGGTTAATGAAAACATTAAACTGTACCATTTCGCGTTTTATGAGCTTCATGGCCCTGTGTGGGGGAGGTACCAGAAAGAGTGGACCAATATATCTCATCTTCACAGAAGATCTTGTGTTAATAGAAATAATGGGATGAGTGAAATATAAAGAGAACCGGTTACATATATCAGATTTTATAATCGCTGTGGTTATTCAAAACTTTGACCCTTTTTTGGGGATGTACCAGAAGGAATAGTCCGATCTCTACCATCTTTATAATAGGTCTTGTGTTGATAGAAATATTGAGATGTGCCAAGTTTGAATGGGATCGGATGTAATTTTGGAGTTTTATTAGCTTCATGGATATTCAAAATTTTGACCCTTGTTGGGGGAAGTAGTAGAAGGAGTGGACCTATATAATCGATCTTTACACCAGACCTTGGGTTAACAAAATTATTATGATGTATGTAATTTGAAGACAATCGGACTCTTACAGCACATTTTATATAAATTTTAATTATTCGAAATTTTGACCCTCTGTGTGGGACGTACATATTGCAGTGGACCATTTTCGCACCTGACCAAGAACTGATGCAAATATTAGGATTTGCAAATATTAGGATGGCAAAATCCGATTATCCTTTCTTTTTCTGTGCAGTAAAATATATTTTTTTTTTTTTGAAAATTTCGTTTTGACCGCATCAAATGATATATACCCTATGTAGCCATTTGGTTGAGGATATGAAAAGGATTTTGAAAAAATATTAAGTAGTCCTTTTTTTCTGAATTTTCCAAAGAAAAAGTTAGTTTGTAGACCTTTTATATTGCAGATCCTGAAATGCAACTAGAAAGTTGGAAAGTATATAAGCAAGATCTCGTAAATGTGAAGGCGAGCTTCACTCTCGACCCGAATTCGTGCGGGAGTACTCCCGCGAACAAGAAAAAAACATGATCGAGAATGCTCTCTTTTTCTTTACCATTCGATTAAGACCGAATATTCTCTCGAAGTCGATCTTCTACTCACACACTCTTAGAGTAAACTCTTACTCTTTTTCGAACATTTTGAATCCCAAGGAAGAATACTCTCGAGTGCTGTCCTATAAAACAAAAGTATAGAGGGTACAATTCTTCTAAAACACGTACTCTACGAGCATAGCGTAGCGAAAGAAATTGAAATATGATTTCCGTTTTGAGCTTTATGAAAATTTGATTGAAATATTGAAAATTAGATCAGTTCAGAAATTCCATTTTGTGATTTAGGATATTTCAAAATGTTGTCCGTTTATAACAGAGAGGATACACTTAACTGACAAATTTTAATTTGCGAAGTTTGGAGAAAAAATCCGTAGCGTTTTCACATTTTATGACAATTAAAAATTTTGTCCCATTGTAGGTACAACCAGAAAAAGTGGGCCGATATTTTCAATTTTTGCACCTCAACTGACTTTGTTCGTAGTCTTGGAATCCATTCGCCTTATATGAAATTCTTAATTTCATACCGTTCCTATCCCGGAGAAATTATCCTTTTCCCGGAGAAATTCAAGAGAAATCGGCGTTTTTTTGCATTTTATGACAGTTTTGATAAGAAATTGTTTACCCTTTCAAGAGAGAAGCAGATTAAGCACATTTTGTCTATTTTCTCATACAAATATTACGATGTTCTTAGGTTCAGCATTTTCCTATGCTCCCTTCACTTTCTGAAAGATATTTGATTTTTGAAAATCTTGAACATTTATTGAAGAGTTAACAGAAGGAAACGATCGATATTATTCGACTTCGAACTTGATCTAAGTTTGATTATAATATAGCGATGTGCCAAGTTGGGACCAAAGCGGATACTTCCTTCGAGATTTATTGTACGCAGCAGAGACACAGAAGGACAACTTTAAATGTCCTACCACGGATGTCAATCCGTTATTTCGATGAGGTATTTTTGGAAAAACAAAATTCTATGCAAACTTAACAATTGTGATAATTATAGGAACCTTGAGTGATGTCCCAGTTATTACTGTTTGTCCCAAAAGTATGTCTTATTCGGTATGAAGTGACTTGAGGAGATTGATTCATAAAAGAAAAACTTCAAAATTATAACCAGTAATTTGTTCTTCTGATTTAATACGAATACATTTTATAATAAGAAAAAAAAAACTAATAAACAAGAAGCCACAAAAGAAGTTTATCTAAAACGCCATTTAAAAATATAAACTTGTAAGAAAAAGGTTTGGAAATATTTTAAAAGTTTAAATATATTTATTTATGTATAGGGAACATGCTTTACAGAAAAAAAACTACATTCGAATTTGGTTCTCATTTTTGGTTTCCTAATTTGTTTTGTTTTTTTTTTTCAAACACAATATCAATGTTCGCCAATAATTTCAATTAATTGTGTTCAATTTAAAATATGTATTCTATATATAACAAAATGTTACCTTGCCAAACTGAAAATACACACAACGTTTTGTAACAGCAACTAAAGACTTCTGTCATAGAAAACTAACCTTTGATTTGTTCTGATATTGTTATTGATTGGCTTCAATTGTCTTTTTTCTTTTTTTTGTGGGATTTTATATAAATTATTGGTCGAATTGAAATAAGTAGGTTTTCAAAAAACACACAAACTCAACGTGTTGGCAGTCAAAATTAAGCAACAGAAAACTAAATACCAAATAACGTGCAAATACCTGAAGGTAAACCACCTGTCTTCGTAGATCCGAGAGTTCCTGCACCGGGTCATCTGTGGTCGATGATGTTAGGCTGGCCAAATCGATGTCGTCCAACAATTTGCTGTCCAAGCCACAGGATGTAAATAGTTGTCCATTATCATTCTCGAATGGATTGAGAGTTTCGGTCTGTAAATGTTATATCAACAATTAATTACAGATGTTATATTAAATTATGCTGTCGGTATTAAAAATTATATAAATCAATTAACCAAAAAAATTAAATAAATTTTAAGCATTCATTCCATGTTAAATCTTGTAAAAAAGAACTAAAATAGTAGTTTGTTTATTTCGAAAGAGTGTTATACAAATACAATTAAATTAAGTGATTTTTAACAGTTATAAGTAGTAGTTGTCCAGATTAGCAATTTTCATAGGGACGGGTTCGTACTCCGCTTGCTTCCAGGTGATAATAATTGTTAGCCAGGAATTCTTAGATATTGGCCCATGCAAGGTCACTATCCTTTTTTTTTTGCATTTCGAGTACCTAAAAGATATCTGCCCTTCTCGCATACACTTGATAATGTGTTTAAAGTATTGTTCTAGAAATACTCTCACTATATTTTGAGTTCTCAATATCCTATTTAAAAACTTAAGAGGTATTTTGAAGGTTGTCCTCACTTGTTTCTTAAGGGGATTTCCGAAATCTGTCACATGTAGTTCATAATGGTATTTATATCCACTCTTGTAAAATTTTTCAATAAACTTCCATGTCTTGGGATAGGACATATATCTTGCTCTCCGAAAATCTATAAGGAAATATATTCCAATACATAAAATTCGATGATAGGCCATAGAAAAATTAAACCAAATTAATACATCTCGGAAAAACTTTCGGATGTGCGCAAACTTGTTATACCCTACACCACATAGTGGTAAGAGAAGAAGGAGAAGAAAGCGATATAGACCAATAGTTAATTTTGAGGAAATTCATAAAATCACTTTCTGGGTCGATTTGTGCATGTCAGCCCATGTATTCTTGTGAACAAAATGCATGTCAAATTTATTATCCGATTGAGATGAAATTTTGCAAACAAGGGCGAACCCTATTGAAATTGGCGACATTCGGATCAGATTTAGATATAGCTCCCATATATTTTCAACCGATTTCGGGTAAATTGCTCACATAATGACTAATATAAGTCCAAATGACCTGTATTTTGGTACATCCCACCGAATTTAGCCTAGAAGCAAGAAACTTAAATATGGAGAAAATCGGTTCAGATATAGCTATAGCTCTCATATATATGTTTCATCCGATTTGAGTTTTTAAGTCCCTCACATGCGTAATATGGACTCCAGAGTAATGATATTTGGTACTGGACATCAGATACTGCTGGAAAATACCTCTGTCAAATGTTATCGAGATCGGTTCAGATTAGGATATAGCTCCCATATATATCTTTATCCAATATCAGATTTATTGTGCACCAATTGGCTAATATCAGACCAAACGGACCGAATTTTGGCAATTACGACTGATTTCGTCCTATAAACCAGTATTTCAAATTTGGTGTAAATCGGTTCAAATATAGCTATAGCTCCCACATATATGTTTTATCCGATTTGGGATTTTAAGTCCCTCGCTTGCGTAATACGCACTCCACAACAATGATCTTTGGTACCATATATCAGATACAGCTCCGAAATATTTGTATCAAATTTTGCCAAGATCGGTTCAGATTTGAATAGATCTCCCATGTACATCCTGAACCTATTTCGGGTTAATTGTGCACCAAATGGCCAATATCAGTCCCAGTGACCTGAATTTTGGCATATCCGACCGAATTCAGACTAGAGGCAAATACTCCCATTATATGTTTATAGCTCCCATTTATATGTTTTATCCGATTTGGGGTTTAAAGTCCCTCACATCTGTAATATGCATTCGACAAAAATGATATTTGGTACCAGATATCTTATAAAGCTCGGAAATAGCTTTGCCAAATTTTATCGAGAACGGCCAAGATATATATCCTTAAGCAGATTTCAGGTTTATTGTGGAAATAATGGCTAATATCAGCCCAAATGGAGTGAATTTTGGGACATACCTTTCCATTTTTACAACTCGGATTCGATATATATTTTTTGTTTTAATATAATCTTTCTCGAAGTGATATCAAGCACTCTATAGCAAACTATAACTGCTCTTAAGCCAAATGTTGATAGATGGTATGATCTACTTGAAATAAATTATTTTGCTACGGGAGCTCTACTAAATATGCACAGTGGTGTAGGGTATCATATAGTCGGCCCCACCCGACTTTTGACTTTTCCTTACTGATTTTACATTCTGCTAGTTCTGTTCAAATGGTAGCTGCTTTGTTCTTAGCTGCTTTGTTCTTAATAATAATATTAGAATATCGAAGTAAGGGCTTCAGTCGGATCTGCCGAAATGCATCGTGTGTGGACTAATATAATACATATGGCGCCGATTCAGAAAGTGATTCTACGAGGATCCTCAAAACTAACTTTGGGTATATCTCGTTTTAGGGTATAAAAATAAATCATGGAGGTTTGTAATCAAATAATGACAATCAATGTTGAGAGAGCTGTGAATGCTATCAAAAATGTTCTTATTTTAAGCTATGGGAAATCTTGGCCAATTATCTACACTGGGATGAAATCCCCGCCGGTTTGGTGGAATAAAGACCTTGCTATTCTTCGTAAAATAACAAGGAGGTACTTAGCATTGATTGGAATGCATATAAGGCAGACTGCAAGAAGTAAAATATAAGTTATAGAAGGCTAAACGTAAATCTTGGGTCAGCTTTAGTGATCCTCCTCTGGATAGTCTGATCATACACACAGACGGTTCCAAGATGGAAGATGGAAGAAGGCACCGGGGCTTGCGTATTCTGTCAAAATTCAATCATTAAAAGCTCATATAAAATAAATGACAATTATAGCGTCTTTAGGCCATTCTTGACTGCAAGAAAGCCCTTCTTGAAGTACGAACAAGTAAAAAAGCAAGTAAGTTCGGCCGGGCCGAACTTTTAATACCATCCACCATTTCGAAAGGAAATTGAAAAATTTAAAAAAAAAAATTCCGAAAACTACCACTTAAGTGAAAACCTTTATATAGTCCCCATACAAAGACGTGGACCCGAATACGAAATTTTTTGCCATAGGCTGTAGTGCCCATTACGAACTTCAAATACGAAATTTGAATAATGTAGCAAAAATCATGAAAATTCACAGTATGGATGATATGGACCTGCATACGAATTTTTTCCCATAAGTTGTATTACCCATTAAGATCTTCCGGTGATATCGGGAGGTACCGTTATATGGTGGCTATAAGAAAATCTGAACCTGCATACAAAAATTGTTGCCATAGGTTGTAGTACCCGTTAGAATCTTCCAGTACGAAATTTGAAACGATTCCGGTGAATAATGTTGCGGAAATCATCAAAATACCGAATATTGGGAGGTACCGTTATATGGAGGCTATACCAAGACTTGGACCTGCATACAAAAATTTTTGTCATAAGCTGTAGTACCCATTACGAGCTTCAAATAGGAAACTCTAAATAATTCCGGTAAATAACGTCGCTAAAATCTTGAAAATACCGAATATCGGGAGGTACCGTTATATGGGGGCTATACGAAAACGTGGACCGACATGGCCCTTTTACGAACTTAACCTGTCTACTTGTAAACTATGCATGTATACAAAATTTCAATTCGTTCGAAAGATAGCGTGATTACAACAGACAGACTCACATCGCTAGATCGTCTTAGAATTTTACGCTGATCCAGAATATATATACTTTGTAGGGTCTATTATGAATATTTCGAGGAGTTACAAATAGAATGACAAAGTTAATATACCCTCCATAGAATGGTGGTGGTTATAAAAAAGGCTCTCTTCCAAAAAGCTGTTAGAAAATGGCACTTAGAAACCGGTTGCAAAGTATCTAGGACCATCTGTCCGGCAATATCGCGAAAAAGAATCATCTCCCTTCTATCAATTAATATGTCCTATGTAAGAATCGGACATACTAATCGGCCCAATATGGGGTAGTTATTTTTAACATGATTATGACAAAATAATTTTTGGGGGGAAATACCCCGGCACCGATATAGAGTCTCTACATGAATTTTTTTAAGGTTAGACTTCGTATAAAACACATTTGTTTGTATCTCAAATATGTATGTTTTTTAATGTTTGGGCGCCACTCTGAGTCTCTTTTGATGTCCCTCAATGATCATGCTTCATAATAGCATCTACTAGATTTGACTCTTTAGCTTTCGAACCCTTATTTACTTTATATCCAAAATATAAGCTTCCATAACCCCTGTCAAAATCATATATTTAAAATATTTTTTTTCAAGATTTAACATCCAATGAATGCATATTGTCTATAAATGATCATTTTTATAAACCTACCCTCGTCAAACAATTTTCATTCTTGAAACAACGAACAAAAAAGAACATAAGATCCAGAAAACGATTAAATACACAGAAAGTGTGTATGACAAGAAGTTGCAAAGTTTGTGCGTTTGTGTGCAGGTATTTTTTGCGTTATTTAATGTTGAGGCGATCGTAATGTGCGATACCAAGTAAACCATATGAGTGTACATAAAAAAATGATACAGAAAAGAAGCAATTATTCAAAAAACAAGGAAAAAATACAAACAAAAAACTTAAAAAAAAATTAAGCAACCAGACATTCCCACGGGAATTCCATGGGTCTTGCAGAACACACATCACTACTATGTACATACCTCCTGCAGTATTTTGCGCAAACGTAACAATTGCTTCTTGAACTGCAGCACATCTTGGATCATAGCATTCCTAAACGATTTATCATACAACATGAGATCGTCCGACGAACTGTGCGTATCGCGTTGATGCTGATGGTAGGCGGCCGATGAAGATGACGATGCTGGATGGTGATGTTGATGCTGTTTCTGCTTCTGATGTCTACGCTGCAACGATGAGCTGGCTGTATTGTTACCACTGCTGTTGTTGCCCTGATTATTGTAGTTGTTGGCCACTGATGATACTGTGGAATTACGTGACGATGTGGCCGTGTTATGGTGACGTCTTGAACTTAATGGAGATCTTGTGCTGTCGGAATCGTTATCGTTATTCAAGGTACAGTGCTGCTGCATGCGAGAACGATTCAATAAACGGGTTGCACGTGCAGGCAAGTGAGCACTGGAAAAGGAGAAGAAAAGTAAGAATAATTATAAAAAAATGTTTTTTATTACTGTGGGAAGCCGATGCAGGTTATAACAGTAGATATTGGTTGAAAATGGCATATTTTGTATCTGAATAAGGATATACTGAGGCGTTTTTTTATTTAAAGAGGGTCTCTAGGAAAGTTAGGATGATTTTATATTTTTTCAAGAGCTACAAGAACCAGAATCATGGATTTTAATCGATTATTTTTTAAGCGCCACCAAGGCTAACATTTTTTAATTAATAAAAAGATCTAAATAAAGTTCTAATATTGTATATTTTTTATACCCACCACCCCATTGCATTTGTTATCCATGGACATGATCGGCTCCTAAGGTAATCACTCGAAATTTGGAGGGGATCGAACTATATGTCTTAAGTTTTGGTCATATGCATATTATGTCTGAAATTCTTATCCAATTGAAAATGTGGTGTATCGGTTCACGCTCCACCATATAATGGTACATCCCAATATTCTGACATTTTCAAGCGAAATTTTTAAAAATTTGGTATTTGAAGTTCGACGTGGATAACAGCCTCCCAGACAAAAAGATGTCTATAAAAGTCTAAGTTTTCCTGTGACGGTGCCTCCCAAAACTTGGCATGTTGAGGATTTTTTTAATGGAAGTGTACCGGTACCGCCTACTATATCTTATTTTAAAAACTTTAACTGCAGGATTTAACTGATTTCACTTCAAACAACAAACATTTTATTTTAAAAGGTTTCTTCATCTTGGGGTGGAGGGTATTAAATTTTTTCCATACAAGAACCAGAAAGACGTTAATCAGTCTAACTGATTTTACCGGGTTTAATCAGGGATATTTATAAAAATATGTTTGGAATCCCATACAAACTCGAAGAAATAATAATATCAAGATCAAGGTTTTAGTCATCTAGGTCGATCCCATTAAACAGTTAGAGTGATGACCGCAGATGGACATGTGTAAATTATTTTCAAAGGTTATTTCGATGAGTTACGAACGAAACGGCAGCTCTACATATTCTTCCTCAGTTTCAATTAATCTATGTCTGTAAAAGAGGAAAATGTTTGTATGTTTGTAATTTATGGACTCGATAACCGCTGCACAGATTTTTCTGAAAATTTCCAAGTATAGTACAACATCGCCTGAAATTCGGCATCAGTGACTAAATTTGACACAAAAATAATTTTGTCAAATTATATTCAAAGCGGTTCAGATTTGTATATAGCTCCCACATACATTTTCGGCCGATTTTATATATTTGTTGCACCCAACGCGATATTATGTCCGATTCCAAGAAAATGCAGAATGTGTGACGAAATCTGGTTACAATAATAATTTTGGCAAATTAATTAGAAATCGGTTAAGATTTTTATATAGCTCCCATATATATATTCTCGACCGATTCCACATATTTGATGCACCAAACACTTCAAAAGATTGCAGTTTCCTGTTCGCTTGGCATTTTCTATGAAATTAATAAATCCGAAGGACAAACCCTTCGTGTATGCGGACTAAATTTGGCATGTTCCTGATTGTCTCATGATCAGCTGTTCCTGACATGTTCTCACGTTGGTAGACCGAGCTATTTCTTTGTTCACGTATTAAAGTATTACAATAAATGCATTTTTAAATTTGGTTTTTTAACGAACAAATATTCGTATATAAAACTTTGAATGCATATAAAATCAATAGAGGTTGCGATACGCACCAGGCTCAGCTAGTTCTCTTAAAATATATAATGGATGCTTTCAATACATCCTCCGTTAATGGTGCTCTAGGTTTGCTAGATGAACATTGCATGACTATTTACGTTTTGGGGTACATTTGATTCTTGAAATAATGTCATGTAATCATCCAAAACGTTTATCTCGGTTATTGTTCGGTTCCACGGATACAAGCGAAATTTCGTATCAATCGCCCTATATCTCAGACCTCCGTCGGCATTCAAAACAATATTTGAAAATTTGAATTCCTGTATATATAATATTCCTTCGATATCTGAAATCAGGTCTACGAAATCAACATCAACATAAATGCCCTTTTCATGTATTTCTGATTTCGAATCGCGGTTGAATGAAAATTTTGGTATTTTTCACATGTCCATTCAGAATGGTAGGACTCTCCCCTGTCTTAAATTTCCTCATGCTAAATTACGTGTCAATGGACCTTTAATTGCGACCTGTAGGCACACTACAAAATCAGGAAAAAAGCCATGCAAAATTTTGCCGAAATAAGAAGACCGATATCTTAAAATGTTTGTCTAGGACCAATTTTGGCGAGATAGGAAAAGATTTGCTACATGCTTGGTCTATTTCAAATTGTTATAAACTTTTTGGGCCAATCAAATTTATACTATCCTCAACACATAATGCTGTAGAGTATAACAATTAAAAAAGAAGTAAAGTTCGGCCCGGCCGAAAAAGTATTTCAATAATTACGTTTTTTTTAATATCCTCCACCATTTGGAAGGAACTTGAACAATTTCAAAAAACTTCCGGAAAATACCACTTAAATGAAAACTATGATATAAAGACTATACGAAAAAGTGAACCTACTTACGATTTTTTTTTCATAGGCCATTGCGAACTTCAAAAAAATTTGGAAAAATTCCGGTGAATACTGTCGCTAAAATTATGAAAATACCGAATATCGGAATGTAACGTTATATGGGGGATATACGAAAACGTGAACCTACATACAAATTTTTTTGTCATAGGCTGTAGTAACCATTACGAACTTTAAATGCGAAACTTGTTACAATTCCGGTGAATAATGTCGCACAAATCATAAAAAATACGGAATAAAAATACAGGCTATACGAAAACGTGGACCTGCATACAAAAATTTTTGTCATAGGCTGTAGTAACCATTAAGATCCCTCAATACGAAATTTGAAACGATTCCGGTGAGTAATGTTTCTGAAATCATCAAAATACCGAAAATCGGGAGCTATACGAAGACGTGGACCTACATACGAATTTTTTTTTTCACAGGTTGTAGTAACCATCAAGATCTCCCAATACGAAATTTGAAAGGATTTCGGTGAGTAATGTTGCTGAAATCATCAAAAAACCGCATATCGGGAGGTACCGTTATATATGGGCTATACAAAGACGTGGGCCTACATACAAAAATGTTTGTCATATGCTGTAGTACCTATTACGACTTTAAATACGAAATTTGAAATAATTCCGGTAAATACTGTCGCTAAAATCATGAAAATACCGAATATCGGGGGGTACCGTTATATGCGGGCTATACGAAAAAGTGAACCGACATGGCCCATTTACGAACTTAATCTGACTACTGGTAAACTATCGCTATTTACACCGCTGATCCAGAATATATATACTTTGTAGGGTCTATTATAAATATTTCAAGGAGTTACAAACGGAATGACAAAGTTAATATACCCTCCATAGAATGGTAGGTTATAAAAATTGATAACTAAATTTAATAGTTGGTATCTGTACAAACATTGCTAATAACCAATATCCACTGTTTTCATTCTAAAATAACCACATTTCCTTTGGGTATGTATGTATGTGTATGTATAAAACAAGATGCAGATAATAGACCTAAGGTATGATGAACCTTCGTGCGGTGCACTGGTGGACAGAATACGTGAATCATCGACAACATGTTTGGCAGCAGTCAGTATGAAATTGCTTCGTCTCAAATATCTTCGCGTGCTAGCAACAGTTGTTGGTACATTCGATGTTGTTGTAGTTGCATTGTGTGCAGCAGAGCTAGATGCCGTCGTACTGCGTACATTTCTTGCTGATGACGACGACGATGAGGCTAACGTCACCACATTGGCAGAGGTTGTTGCATTGCTTTTGTACGATTTATTTGGGGAATTTTTTGGACTACTTATGATTTTAAAATAAATGTTTTCATGCGACGATTGTTGTTGGTGTTGTCTTGCAAGATAAGGCGAATGTTTACGTTGGTGTTGTTGCAATTGGTCTCCTGCCGGATGATGTTGCCTCGTTTTTATAGCAATTGGCGATGACGTCCTTGAACGTGTTGGTCCATATGATTTGGCCAAATAAACATTTTGTGAAGTTTTCAAATCGGTGCGTACTCGTCTAGCAGTATTCGGTGACACATCGCACACTTTTTCTTGCGAACTATTTTCCACAATATTTGTTGTAGTAATTGTTGTACATGACATATTGAATTGTTTTATTGTTGTTCGATTTTATTTTATGCGAGAAATATTCAGATTTTACTTGGTTTCTTTGTACTCTAACTAAAGCTGTTCATTTTTGACTAACGTCATGTTACCATCCTTTTTCGTTTTGTTGGCCGTGTTTTCGTTGTCAGTGTGTCATGAAAGTATGACACAATCATGACATGCGCAAACTCATACTCCAAATCTATTTTTTTGTTTTGGTCTATGAGTATTTGTAAGTTACGATGATAGTTTTGGTCCGGTTCTGTCATTCTCATGGCTACAGGGTTACCTAAGTGTATGTTTAGAGTAATGATTTTCGTGATATTTTTGAAAACTCAAATTGCAGAACTTGCAAGAATCTACTAGCACTACCATTTTTTTTACCCTCCACCATTCTATGGAGGGTATATTAACTTTGTCATTCCATTTGTAACTCCCCGAAATATTCATAATAGACCCTACATAGTATATATATTCTGAAGGAATTGAGATAGAAGGCTAAAATTTTGCATACATGCATAGTTTGCCAGTAGGCAGGTTAAGTTCGTAAATGGGTCGTATAGCCCACATATAACGGCAACTCCCGATATTCGGTTTTTTCATGATTTTAGCGACATTATTTACCAGAATTATTTATAATTTCGTATTTCAAGTTCGTAGTAGGTACTACAGCCTATGACAAAATTTTTTGTATGCAGGTCCAAGTCTTCGTATAGCCCCCATATAACGTTACCTCCCAACGTTCGGTATTTTGATGATTTCAGCAAGATTATTCACCGGAATCGTTTCAAATTCCGTACTGGAAGATCCA